CTCTCTTGCAGCTTTTTCAATGGTTCTCTAACTGATATCAATCCGTGATCAACTCGTAAACTGTTGAAAACTATTAATACAGACCAAATTCACCAAATAATAAAAACGTAAATCACGTGACAAGAAAGTTCAAATTCCAAATCGGTCGATAAAAATGGTCAAAACAGATTTAAATCGACTACCAGTTAAGAACATCGTTGCTAGGAGACTTAATTCTATCACTCATGGAGGGAGAATTTAAATCAGTTCATTTGATGCTAAAATCTGCGCTTAAGGGGGATGTTGTCCAGAAGGTGGGCGACGAAAGCTTCTCAATCAAATCAACCAGCTCCTCCTCAGAGAACACAACTAACTACAAATCATCCACCTGAGCTACAAATCTTCTCTATTATATATATATATATACATATATATATATGCAATTGCTGTCATTCTTTTTTGGACTGTTGTTTCATGACAATAAAAGCTCTGTCTGCAACAACAGTCTATCTCCTCTTCTTATATTCTTCCGTCGCGGTGGCATTGGTGGCATCGCTTCGTGTTGCTGTTGTTGCTAATACTGGCTAGAACAGTAGACTCACAAATTGTCTCGGGTAGGAAGTTCGTTAACGCAAACTACCAAGTGTATTGAGTGTCATTACATACATACATACTAGATCGATTCATAGACTCTGATGAACATACTCAGGAGTACTAGACAGATATACTGATATATACTGAGTTGAAAACATGAAAAGGTCGACTGTTTTTGATCATAGATGTCTACGATCTCCTTCTCACGTTAGATGGTATAATAAGGTAAGTAATGTTGACGTTAGGCGTAGAGTGTTGGGCAAAGAGGGAAAATCACTCGAAGAGGCTATAAAGTTACATAGATTGAGATGGCTAGGTCACGTGCTGCGCATGCATGCCTAACCATCGCCTCCCCCGACGGACGGGCATTACTAGCTGATACAGGTGCAGGCTGGAAAAGAGTAAGTGGTGGCCAAACAAAAACATGGCCTCATCAATCCATGAAATCCTTGACAGTTAAACTAAGTCAGGTAGGGGGGAGATGCAGACTTCCGGGTTGGGGCCCGCCCTCGGGACTCTAAGAATCAATCGCTAGAAACAATAGGTGACATGGCTCAAAATCCTCGTTGTCAATGGCTTACACAGATGTATTCAGTCTCTGTAATCTTTCATATCCCTTTCTACCATTACTCATTGTGTTCCACTCTTAAACTTGTCAAAACTCTACTGATTCTCTTCACTCATTTTCTTGTCTACCTTTGTGTGGTATTTGGAACGTGGCAACTCGAACTGCTGCACCTAGGTGCCAAGTTCTATGTTGAATCCAGACAGACAGACAAATATACTGATTATTAGAAACTATAAGGACCATATTTTTATATGCCACGTTATAACGTATAATTATTATTTCAGTCAGGGTGGATGATAGTTTCTAGTTGGTAAATAGTCGCAAGAAGCCAATAGCTGAACAACCAATGAAACACATTCAAACCTCAGATATATTGCCTACTGATCTTCGCATATTATCCATGATCCGTGATCAGCTGTTTATTTTATTCATCATTGAGAGAGAGATTGCGCCATACAAAATCTGATAGGTAGTGCGTTGGTTGAGATCCTGTGAGGATGCCTAGATGGAAGAAGCTGCTTGTGAAATAATAGAGAAAATTTGTAGCTCAGGTGGATGATTTGCAATTTATTAGTGTTCTCTGAGCTATCTGGTTGGTTTGGTTGCGGAGCTGTCGTCGTCACCCTTCTGAACAACATCCCCCTTCAGCGCTATTTTTAGCATAAAGTGAACTGATTTAAATTTTTCCATGAGCGATAGATAGAATTGCATCTCCAGGTAACGATCTTTACATCTGTATTGACCATTTTCTATTGACTTAGGTTTTAAACTTTCTGGTCACTTGATTTAATTTTTATTAGTTGGTATATTTGGTCTATATTAACGTGTTTGTTAATTGCATATTCGTTTAAGTACCAGGCTTCTAGGAATTAACTGGCACTTTTGGTGTTTCCTCTGTCTAAAATGTCGACATTATGCTAATCATCAAACTGATGTCAATAATTATCTATATGCACTGATATGAAACAGGAGTATATATCATGTCTTTTGACAGCTGATTTGTGTTCCTGGATTCTGATTCGAAGGGGATGCCCACTTTGGCAGATGTATTGAGGGACCACCTCCCGAGCTTCTTACTCGAAGTCTAGTCCAAAAGGCAGTGGAGCAACGTTCACATAGTTCCCAGTGACTAAAAAAGGTAAATTAGGAAGCATCGTTTCAACTGCAGGCGGACGAAACTGATGAGAATTTCAAAGCAGCAAGGATCAGGAAAGCAAGGCAAGCTTTCATTACTCACAAGTCTGTGTGGAGATCAACAGCACTCAGCATGAAAATGAAAATAAGATCCGGATTTTCAACTCCAATGTGAAGTCAGTGCTACTATATGGATCAGAGACTTGGTGCCGCGTCACGAAGGGCATTTCGAACAAACCATACACATTCATCAACAACTGTCTTCGCTCAATACTACTCAAGATCAGATGATAGGCCAGAAAACATCAGCGAACCATCAAGTGAGTGATATCACACGCCAGGCTATCGCCCCAGTGGAACCCGAACAGTAAGCGGTGAGTTGGTCGTCAGTGTGAGGGTGACATAGAAGAGGTCATGTGAAGAGATGAAAGCATGTGGGCAGATGTGTAGAGCCAGGTGAAAACGTTGGCAGAGAACCGAACACAATGGAGACATGGGGCTGGAGCCCTATGTTCCTCTAGGAACTAAAAGAGACAATAATAATAATAAAACAGGTAAATACGACATTCGACACTTTCGCATTCTAGAGCACATGTACAGACTACAGGTGTCGGAATCAGGGTTTTGCAGCTCCCGTAAGTAGGCCACCTGGCATGTTCACCAGTCGAGTGATTAGAAGCGTGAGACTTTCGGATTCACCGTCTAAAACTTTTGCGAGGAATTCCCCCACCCATCTTGTGAAGGTAGTGCATAGAAACTAACTGGTAATGACTATGAATACCTGGACACAAGAGAACAATTCAAGCGGAAGACTATGCTGAGTAATTTCAACACAGAACTTTACACAGGAGTACAGCGGCTGGAGCTGCCATTCTCAATGTAACGCACGAAGAAAGACAAGAGAGTAAAGAGAGATTCAAAGAAGAGATAATACGTAGGAGTGTGAGTTAAAAATAATAGTAATATGGAAGAACATTAGAGTTTTACTGCGTATGAAAAATCCTAGAGAGTGGATACATCTACCGCAGTGAGAACAATTGCCTCTAGCTATTGGATCTTACCATCCTGAGAATTCCAACCAGTCAAGAAGTCTACACCTCCCTATGTGGATGGCTGGCTTAAACTAACTGTTATGGATTTCATTGACTGATGAAGCCATGTTTTCGTTTGACCACTACTAGCTCTTTTGCAAGCTGATCCATCCTATGTCAGCTAATATTGACCATCAAGGACGGCGATGGTTAGGCATACGTAGCACATGTCTTTACCATCTCGATCGATGTGACTTCAAAACCCCGCCGATCGATTTCCTCTCCATACCTAGCATTAAATGCCTAACCTCTATATCGGTCACCCTATTATGCCACCTAAAATGGGAGATAGAACGCAGATACCTATGATTAAAGACAGCTAGCCAGGCGGCGTTTCATCTCTTCCACTTTCAATAGCCATATCTCAGAACCAATCACAAAGCAGGATGGAACGAAATGATTTCGATCGATAGCCAGCCAGATATCATGTCTACGAAGCCAGAGATGGCGTAAATTGGCAGGCAAATTGCAAACGAGCCCTATATATCCGAACTCTACTCGACCTCCATATTAGTTTGTTTATTAGATATATCACACAGTGAAACAGTATTATTTACTGGATGACGTTTCGAATTGACTTTAAATGACAGAGCACAAAAACTAAGTAGTACCAAAGAAAATCTAAAACAGCAAGTGATACAGATAAAAGAAGCCTTGAAACCTAATAATTACCCGGATAAATTAGTCAAGAAATATGCAAGGAAATGTAAAAATAAAATAAATAATGATAGTAGCGATAGTGATAATATCAATAATAATGATAATAATAATAATAGTGATAATAATAATAATATTAATGACGACACCAATAATAAGGAATCTAAATCACCAGTAGTAATTCCATACAAGGAAGGAACCTCGGAAACCTTACGGAGAATTCTTAACAAGGCAGGAATAAAAGTGGCTGGCATTTAAATCACCCACAAACTCAATTAGAAACAAGCTCTGTCGGTGAGAGGATCCTGTTGAGCCTTTAAAACAAAACAATTTAGTTTATCTAATACCCTGCCTGCGACGATTGTCAGGTCAAATACATAGGTCAAACTAGTAGAACAGGGGCAGTCAGACTAGCCAAACATAAAAATTTAGCAAAATCTAGATTAGTTGACCCGAATAAGATAAGAAATCTAGAGAATAGTTCAGCTATAGCACTACATGCAGTCACACACAACCATACAATAGGATGGGATAGGATGACAGTTTTAAAATCTAATGTCACAGCGGGGTGAAGGGAGAGATTGATAACAGAGGAAGCTTTGTTTATCGAATCAACTGGGAGAGAATACGTGTCACAGGAATGATTCAACACCTGTCCATCCAGATATCTGGAAAATTCTACTATCCCAATGGCGACAAATAGGAGAGAACAAAGAAAGAAACTATAAAAATCAAGTTTCAAAGTCGTGTGATTACAATTGATATGATTATGAACAATAAATTTTGTTCGAAACGTCATCCAGTAAATAATACTGTTTCACTGTGTGATACATTTAATAAACAAACTAATATGGAATTACTACAACAGTGCCCAAGTTTTACACATATATCTACTCAACCTCCACCGTACCAGAAGAACTCAAAGAAAAAATAATGGAAAAACATAAATTAAATTATTATCTTCACCATCAACCTACTTGTCTTAACCATACGTATATCTTCACCATTCAGTAGATTATGCAACAGACGTTTATTATCAATAGGACGCATTGAAAACAGCGCATACAAGGAGTCTTCAACGGTTAAACCCATTCCACGGGCTAATTCAGCCGCCATCATTTGTATGATCAGACCAATACGCAGACGTAAAATATTTGCCAATTGTTGAGGTTGTGTACGTGCAAACATTGACAAGTAAATCAAGATTTCCTGTTTTCGTATGGAATGATATGACGCAACAATCAATGATGAAGAGGGAATGAAAAGAAACAATCATTTTAATTGATTAGAAATGCTCTTTCATAAATATCGAAAGATTGATTAGTAGTAAAAAACAAAAAAATTGAGCAAAGAATATCTTTTTCGATAATTTCCTCTTCTGGCTCTACAATCTCAGCGATCCTTTTCGACCAAATGAAATTCGCCAAACCCGATGATGGTGAAAAGAACAAGACACACCTCATTGAAAATCAACTGACTGATGTCTTAAAGAAAATGAGGAATAAGTCAGTAATCTCGCCGGAAATATATGAACGCATCCGACCAGTAGGCTCCATGATACCACGTTTGTATGGACTACCTAAAATTCATAAGACAGGATTACCCCTGCGTCCTATCCTCGATATGCCGGGTTCTCCTTATCACGGAATCGCTCAATGGCTAGCTGAAATATTGGAACCAGTTAGAAGGCAAGTATCTAAGTTTTCCATTGATGATACGTTTAAATTCATTGATAGCATTAAAGATTTTAATGTCTCAGACAAAGTCATGTTCTCATTAGATGTGACGTCGCTATTTACCAATGCTCCTCTCATGGAAACTGTTTGCTACTTATGTGATTATATTGATACACATAGTTTAGAAATAGGGTTGCCAACAATCCACCTCAAAGAGCTTTTACTGAGATGCACGTTGAATGTTCCGTTCGCCTTCAATTATGAGATCTTTAGACAGAGAGACGGCATTGCCATGGGATCACCACTGGGTCCCTTGTTGGCTGATTGTTTTACGGCTAAGCTTGAAAATTCTCAACTTAGTCAAACCATCGGTCATTTTGACATTTATAAAAGATACGTAGACGACACTTTCGTTATCTGCGATAAAAATGTAATTCTTGATGATGTTTTGTTTACTTTCAACAATTGCCATCCTTCTTTACAATTCATCGTAGAAAAGGAATCCGAGCTAAGTATTCTGTTTCTTGATGTGTGCCTTAGCAAACGTAATGACGGATCTCTCAAAAGATCTATCCACCGGAAAGGTATATGGAACGGACAACTAACTAATTTTACAGTTTGGTGCCTATCTCCAGGAAAAGGAACTTAATTCATTCGCTTTGCTCTAGGATAAGAAAAATTTGTAGTTCTGATTCCGTTGACTCGGAACTTGACTTTTTAAAAGCCACGCTGGCAGAAAACGGTTACCCTAACCGATTTATTGACAGCAACATAAAAGATAAGCAGTGTAAACTGGTCACCGACTACTCAGTTCCAAAGAAAACCTTATTCACATGAACTTGGAATTCAAAGGTGATCAAGCTTCAGATATGCTCAAAAGTCGTCTCTGTAAATCAGTCAGTAAGACGTTCTTTGAATATGACGTCCACTGGCCGCAAGTTGTTCTCTACCTCTGTAAAAGATGAGCTCCCCCATCTAGCCGCCTCCATGTGCATCTATCAGTTCACCCGCTCCTCTTGTGGAGCAAGGTACATTGGCCGTAGTCAGAGGACGCTTTCCACATGGATACGAGAACATATTCCAGCAGCATGGTTTTACAAGGGAGAAAGAAAGTGTGTGCGAAGCTCTATTTTGGAATACCTGATCGACTTCTGTCACTCTGTCAACCCTGACCATGATTTCAAGATCATATATAGAATCCATGCTAACTTCCCGCGTTTTCTTCGTTATAGACTTCTAAAGACAGCTGAGGCATTGGCAGTTCATGACTTTAAGACAGACCCTTGTGTTTAAAAGAAGTATGTACAATCCCTAATTCTGCCTTGGCCGTAGAGGGATAGACATTTATTTATTTTGTTTATTTAGTTATTCTATGTACTTTTCCCATATTACTACGATTATTATTAATATTATTATCATTATTCTCACTCTGAATCTTTTCCACTTGACCCATTTTTCATTTTAAACCCAAAATTATTAATTTTTATATTTTTATTTTTACAATATTGAATTCTATCTTATCAAATTTCACACCATGTTATGTAACATTTTATATTCGTTTACTAATCCTATAATCATGTACATCTTTCTAAAATCTATACACCATATGTATTATTCTATATATGACAATAATTACATATATGTTTATGATATTAAATGGTTGGAGGCAATCGACCACAGGAAGCCTTGCCTGAACTAGGTTTGGTGCTAGTTGGCACTTACCAGTCATTCAGCAAGGCGTATCTGAAATCAACTTGAAGGAACTCATGTACTTTCTGAGATTCGAACCGGAGTCATCCAGTGAGTGCTGCAGTAACAAACATTACCACTGAGCTATTCAGGCTCGCGATTGACCTCCTGTAGGACTGTAGTGGATACTTTTGATTGGACATTAGTAACCAGTGTAATGTGTCTAATCCTTTCTTCGGTGCAGACTGAATTCTATCAGTCATGTTTGCAATGTGGCCACCATGCTAGGTGGCTCGCCATTACGGTGCACTGTGAATTGTTGGTATTAGATGGTTGGAGGCAATCGGCAGGAAGCCTTGGACCTAGGTTTCGTGCTTATTGACACTCACCAGTCAGCAGGGCGTATCTGCAACCTAGTTACTAGTGTCTTATCAAAAGTATCCACTACAGTCGGTCATACAGAACGTCAGTCGCTAGCCAAACTGAATAGCTCAGTGGTAACGTCTCTGACTGCAGCCAGCACTGGGTGACGCAGGTTCGAATCTCACTCGGTGGGACGTGAGTTCTTTCAAGGTGATTGCAGATACGCGTTGCTGACTGGTGACTGCCAACTAGCACGAAACCTAGGTCAAGCTAGGCTTCCTGTGGCCGACTGCCTCCAACCCATCTAATATCATCAAATCAATGTGTGCACTGTGATAGCGAGCGACCTAGTGGCATGGTGGTCACATTGCAACCCTAACTGATAGAATTCAGCCTGCACCGAAGAAAGGACTAGACACATCGCACTAGTTACTAGTGTCCAATCAAAGTATATATATGTTTATATACATAAAATATTCTGGTACAATCGTCATTGACAATATTGGTGTTTTTTTTAAATACTATCGATTTGTTAAGCAAGATCAGTGAAATTACAGTTCACGAAAGATGCTTAAGTTATAATAAGCATAAAAATGTAACATGTAAACATAATTTTTAAATAAAATTAAGGAAATTTCCACAACAAATTGATGATCATTAAAACCTTGATTTATGGCCAAGGTAAGGACAGTGTCTGAACCAACCAACTTCTTCTTTTGGATGCATAAGTCAGGTTTCTTAATATGGATCCCAACAGCGCCAGCCTCAGCAATATTTGGTAGTCGAACTCTTAAGGCGAAGTTAAGACTTAGATATGATAGAGAAGATTTGTAGCTCAGATGGATGATTTTGATGTGGTTGTGTTCTCTGAGCTGGACACTTAATTTGCGAATCCTGAATTACAACAGAAACAATCCAATAGCACACAAGAGGAATTGCATACAAACACTATTCAAGAGGGCGAGGATTGATTGCAGCACTCCCACCTTAAGGAATTTTGAAGAAAGATATCTCATGGACGTCTTCCAAAAGAATGGATGGATATCCACGGAATTTCATCAGAAGACTTATACCGCCAAGCCAGCCTATAAAACCAAAAGCCCCCAAGGAAAGCACAAAGAAATTCGCCATGCCATATATAAAGGATATCTCAGAAATCACTACAAGACTCTTCAAACCTTTAGGAATTGACGTCGTACAAAAACCAACAAAGTCACTTCACCCAATTCTATGTCAACCAAAAGACTCAACAGCGAAGGAAGATAAAACCAACATTGTCTACAAAATAAAATTGTATCAACTGCGAAAAACACTACATTGGCCAAAGTGGACATCCCCTTCGCCTTCGTATCCATGAACATAAACTAGCAGTCAAAAGACATGACATCCACTCGCTGATATCGCTGTATTCACACAACCACAGATATCAGTTCGACTGGGACAACCACCGTTCAAATATTAGACAGAGGAAACAACAAGAATGCTAGAGAATTTCTAGAAGCCTACCTGGTTGGTATTCTAGTGAATCATCAATCAATAGACACATCGAGATAGACAAAATTTATCAACCGATAAGAAGAAAACCTCACACACACACACAAAGGGTCAAAGTTCAAGTCAAAGAAACAATCAGTTCCAATACAAGTAGCCTAGAAGGTGCGAAAACACAAAAACAACCAATCGCGTTTAAGGTGGTCACCAGGAGAGATGATTAATAAATTCGTGAAGAAATCTAAAAGCTCACTTCAAATTGAAGTATGCGCTGAAGATGTCACCTAGTAGGGTGATGAAAGCCTTGCAAATTAACTATCCTGCTGCTGCTGCTGGATTCCACAAAAAACTTGTCACCGAAGTGCAGAAGTTCCAGTTGCCACGTTCCAAATAACACACAAAGGTAGACAAGAAGATGAGTGAAGAGAATCAATAGAGTTTTGACAAGTATAAAAGTGAAACAGAATGAGTAATGGTAGAAAGGAATATGAAAGATTACAGAGACTGAATACATCTGCGTAAGCCATTGACAACGGGGATTTTGAGCCATGTCACCTACTGTGTCCAGCCATTGATTCTTAGAGTCCCGATGGCGGCCCCCAACCCGGAAGTCTGTATCTCCTTCCCTACTTGACTCAGTTTAACTGTCAGGGATTTCATGGATTGATGAGGCCATGTTTTTGTTCGGCCACCACTTACTCTTTTCCAGCCTGCACCTGTATCAGCTAGTAATGCCCGTCCGTCGGGGGAGGCGATGGTTAGGCATGCGCAGCACGTCACCTAGCCATCTCAATCTATGTAACTTTATAGCCTCTTCGATTGATTTTCCCTCTTTGCCCAACACTACGCCTAACGTCAACACTACTTACCTTATTATACCACCTAACGTGAGAAAGAGATCGTAGACATCCATGATCAAAAACAGTCAACCTTTTCATGTCTTCAACTCGTATTGGCCATGTTTCAGAGCCATAGAGAAGGACGGAGCGA